ACCGGCTTGGAAAAATCAGCGGGGAAAGACTATGACTATGACTCTCTTAAGGTAGCCAAATGCCTCGTCATCTGATTAGTGACGCGCATGAATGGATTAACGAGATTCCCACTGTCCCTATCTACTATCTAGCGAAACCACAGCCAAGGGAACCGGCTTGGAAAAATCAGCGGGGAAAGACTATGACTATGACTCTCTTAAGGTAGCCAAATGCCTCGTCATCTGATTAGTGACGCGCATGAATGGATTAACGAGATTCCCACTGTCCCTATCTACTATCTAGCGAAACCACAGCCAAGGGAACCGGCTTGGAAAAATCAGCGGGGAAAGACTATGACTATGACTCTCTTAAGGTAGCCAAATGCCTCGTCATCTGATTAGTGACGCGCATGAATGGATTAACGAGATTCCCACTGTCCCTATCTACTATCTAGCGAAACCACAGCCAAGGGAACCGGCTTGGAAAAATCAGCGGGGAAAGACTATGACTATGACTCTCTTAAGGTAGCCAAATGCCTCGTCATCTGATTAGTGACGCGCATGAATGGATTAACGAGATTCCCACTGTCCCTATCTACTATCTAGCGAAACCACAGCCAAGGGAACCGGCTTGGAAAAATCAGCTGGGAAAGTATGTAATAATATGTAATAATTATTTTAACAAAATAAAACTTGAAGTAAAAACATTAGTTCATTGACTTTAAAGTGTTACTTGAAATCCAGGAATCGACCTACTTTTTGTCGACGACTTCATACTCCTGTTGGTTAACTCTTTGTTGTGCCTCATAAGTAGATTTTGACTAAACAGGTCTTCATAATTGTCTTTAGTATCTCGGTGTTTTTTGGTCTCTTTTAAATGTTTTTGCACTGTATTCATTTTGGTATAGGTACCTTTTCCAAAAGTCAAAAAGCGGTGATTACTTTTCTGAAAAAAATTATAATCGAACTGTCTTAGACAGCACAGGAACAGAACAATGGAAAAAAATAAAAAAGGCAATAATATATTTTTGATTGTGCTATATACTCTCATACTGAACTCGCTCTAGTTCTCATAAAACTGTTTCTGTAATGTCGATAAACAAATAAACATACGCGTTCGTGTTCTCCTCTTTCCATTCACTGTCCTGGTTTTTAACACACACAGCACAGGTGAAGAGCTTGGCGTGTCAAAGCGCATGCGTATTACACCTGTTCATATGCGTCAAACTCACTATTGTTTACTTTTTTCGTTCGAAGGCGTTTTGTGCGCAGATATGATCCACTGCGCATACACTGGGTGGGCTGTGGCACAGGATATGTCACGTTTCTAGGGTCCTCCCGCCAACCCGAGTCGCCTCAAGTGATCGGAATATATATATATATATACTCTCTAACCATCTATCTCCAGTTTCCATATTACTTTCGATATTCGTTCATGCCCTTAAGTTAAAAGTATATTGTTTGAGTTTGATTATTATTCTGAAAGGCCATTCATTAAAATTGTTAAAAGTGGCTAACACGTCTTGATTTGCGATTGCATGAGCTACCCGTCAATAAATACCGTAATATGAATCATGTTAAATTTATTTATATTTGGCAATAAAACAATTATATGCCAAACTTATTACTGTAATTTGGGGGTTCTGTGCATGTAATGAGACTTGATGTTTTTTGCTATTGTTATTTTTAATAGAATATGGAGTGGCTTGAACAGGAATCTTTATCATTGAAATTGCATGTTCACATCTGGTTCAAGATACAAAAACAAAAGTATGTTTTTAATACCATATTCAGCGGTAAGTCTTAAAGCTTATAAGGCTAAATATTCAGTTTCGATACCGACTGTGGGCAGAGCACAGGTTGCCCAGTGCGTAGCTTTGTGCTTAGCAACAGAAATTTTACTACCACTAGCCACCCATTTCATGAAAAATAAGAATTATGTATAATAGGCCTGTTAATATTTAAAGTGAATGAATTATGAAAATAAAATTTTAAAAACGTGTTTCCGAAAATGCTATTTCTAATTGCTGTATTAGTAACAAAAATATTTTTTAAAATTGTTGGGACGTAGGAATGTAAAAAGATCGGAAACTAAAGAGCATTTCGGATGGGAGGAAAACCTGCATTACCCATTCCTGCATTCAACTTATATGCATCCACCCTGTGAATGCAATACATGAGTGGTGGAATGCAGGAATGAGTAATGCAAATTTTTTCCGCCCGTATCAAATGCTCCCTAGTTTCTGTTATTTTTCCATTCCTTTATCCCAATAATTTTAGAATAAAATTTTATATTACTAGTTTCTGATCTTTTTACGAGTCGAAGTCTTGACTTCCAATGGGGAGGTAACTTCTAGGTGGAAGGCACCATTTAAACGACATATTCAGTTCTATTCTATAAGGACCCATAATATAATCTATAGACGTTACTTCTGGAAGCAAGAAAAGTCATGACCAGGGTAATGCGCGGCGCAGTAAGGAGTATAAGGTAGATTATCTACTTCCGTATAACGTACATAACGGCTTGCTGATCATAGATTGTGATTAGTACTTTGAGCTGTAACTAACTTATCATGGATCACTTGCTACTCTAAGTATGAAAAGGCACAACCTAAGGAGTAGTGAAGAGTTGTGGTGTGCAGGGTGGTCATAAGCACACTGTGGTTTACGAGTTACCGCTGACGGTGAAGAAAAAAGAAGAATAAAAGCGATGTTTTTGTGGCCCGTTTTCTAGACGTCAGAAAAAGTTGTTTGAACTTTAGAGGCAGTTTTGTACTTGGTTAGTGAAGGGTTTTTCGTCTCTATCCCTTTGGCTGGGTTTTGCCAACGTCCTGGAGTACATGCTGTCATACCCAATGTATAGGCCGCCATTTTTATTTTTTTTAACTAGCCTTATCTCTACATAGGGATCGCTACCGTGCTCCCGGATGACTAAGCCTATCTCTTCTTGTTCGAGGAAAAATAATTATTTTCCTACCATACTGTGACATTATAATTCAAATAAAGTATAAAATATTAGCTTTTCGGGAGAAAAAAATCACAATTAATTGTGACAGAAGTTTTTCACTAACATCTTTGTTCTACTCATATATCATTAAGCTAAGTTTTAGTACTTTATTCCGATCTTTGTGCATACCCGCTGAACTGGAAGCCATATTAATGTGTACAGTACAAGGATCTTTCATTACGTATTTGTATTATTAGCCTATTACTTCCCGATGTTAAGATACGGGCAATTACATCGTATCATGTCAATCGAGGATGAGAAACGTTGATTGGCTAAAACTCAATAAAACTACACTTGTATTCAAGTTACACGGTCAAGTTATTGTAATTTTGTTTAAAACATATAACGTTCCTCTTAGGGGTTACACTGTCACATTATGCTCAGCAAAAATTCAGAAAATTCACAAACACATAATTTCATTCACAATGTGCTCAAATCAACAGAAAATCAAAATGTGCGTTTGTTTTCTATTTTTAAGTATAAAAGTAAAGTATTTATTGAACAACTTTCAATTACAAATTTTCCTCAGTGTTTGTGGAAAACAACTACAAATTTATTTTTATAAGTTTTTAACTTCAATAATGTAATTTTGTGCTTGAAGTGGGGCGTACCCATCCCGATGTAATATAGTTAAAACAAATCAAATTTATTCGTATATTGGTCAAGAAATCAGCACTTTAATGGCAACACAGATGACACAATCTTTTAACAATAATTTTATTCAATAATCACATTACAAAAATGCCCTTTAACAAAGTTTCCAAACGAAATTCGTTAAGGATGATCGTGCACATTTTAATATTATCATTACAGTACTTAATTAATTTCCCTTAATAAAGATTTGACTGTCTAATTAGATTAGACAATTGCATGAAATAAATGCCCTTCACGAAAAATTAAAAACCACACTCAATACCCAATTAATTCTATTCAACTTCAACATAGAACAATAGGTACTTTACAATCACAAAACAACTCTTAAACAATAAAGTTATATGCCAAACTCTTAAAGCATGTTACATATAACATAACAAAAGTAATCTAAAACAACATTTTAACAAAAATATTAAAATTTACTATGCAATGTAAGCCCTGCAACATTAACTCAAACAGTGCAGAATAAAAAACCCTTTCAAAAACATTTTATAATACAAACCAAATACACCATTTAAATCATTTTAAAACACGAAGTGAAACATACGCTTTAACAATGACATAGGTTAATTAATTAAGCTCTTTAAATACATAAATCAGAAACAATAATAGTAAACAAAAAATGACAAGAAAAAAGAACTCAAAAAAACATCCTAAAATAATATATGTTAAAAAAAGGAAAATGCATATATATATATGTGTGTGTGTGTACACAACCTTGTACAAAAACACTTGAGATACAAAAACAAATGAGAAATTATTTCTAACTGTAAAATGGAAACATAAATAGTAGACACAAAGAAACAAAACATGAAAAGCACAGAACAACACACGATTTAAAACAAATACAAATTACGTAAGATCTACATCAACATATAAATATATATAAAATCTACAATCAAACAAAAAATATATAAAATCTACAATCAAACAAAAAATATATAGAACGTATACATACCCTAGGATAGCTATGAGGCCCTACTTTCCTCATCTCAACCACAAGAGCAGATCCTCCAAAGCAATAGTTGACCATTGATTGATCACAGTCGTTTCTTGGATGATTTCTTCAGGTGCGATGCTGATGTAGCTTGCCATCATAGCTGTTCCTCCTTCTGGTTTTACAGGGCCCAGGCTTCAGTAACTTTCTTGGTAATGCTATTTCAAGATTTAGCTCTGCTGTAGGGTAATGTTGGTTGTTAATGTGTTTGTTGGTAGCTCTAGACTAGAATGTCATTTGAATTGCTCCTAGGACTTCTGTGGTATTTGATCATGGTAGCTCGACTGCCGTCCAGTTAAATGCTCGTAAAGCATTTGCTAAAACGCAAATACCAACGATTTCAAGAAACGGAGTTTTATATATATAGCATATAAGGTATTCTATAGAGAAGTGAAGAAATATATAACTCCAAATATACAATAAAAACCTCGAGAAATACAGCAGACCAAAGGGAGTTATAAAAAACGTGGACACTAACAAGCGAACCACATTACGTGAGTTAAGTGGATATACATTCCAGGCCGTGACCCAAGAAGTATGGAAGCTAACAGTTATGATTACCAGCGCTGAATAAACGCGATTCCATGAGAGAAAGCAACGGATGTTTATATTGTAAATCATAACTAGATAACTAAACTTTGAAGAGAATCAACAAGTGGAAAGACCGAAGTTAAACAATTTGTCTCAAAAGATTCAAAGTTAATAATCTCAGGTGTTTACGACAATGTCAACGCATAGTTACTGAGAGATAGTTCTGCATGAACCAATTAACAAGTAGTTAGGGTTTTAGTTTGGTAGAAGAGTCAACTTGTGCCAATTAAGGAGAAAGAACTATTTGCAAAAGTAGATCCACTGCACTTATTGAGAAGTCGTAATGACACGGAAAAATGTGTATAAAACATTGTGTTTTCAAACCTGGAGACATCTCGCACCAGCTGATCCAGACCTACGAGTGGACCTGCAACTATCCAAAAGTCAGCATGGCTATTTTACAAACTACTGAGAAGATTCGAACTCTTTGTAAGTGTAACATGATATCTCCTATCTAGTCTAGCAATGTACCTCTGTAATGATGTATAATGTGTTAAGAAAGGAAAATATTAAACACTAACTGAGTCGAGGATTTAGCAAGATTAATAAAAGTTATAATCGAATTATTGAGAGGTGCATTGGAGGAATTACTATTGCAGTTGTTTAAGAGAAACATTGACTGAAGAAATTTCTCGTAGAGTCTTGGCCAAAATGTTTGCATATTTTGTAACAAATAAGATTATTGTTATTAAGGTGGAATACAAATACACTTAGCACTGTCAAACTAATAAATGCATTTTATATTAAGCATCTACATGTGAAATCTGTATAATTACACTGGTTCTATAGACATCATGAACGGCTCATTAGAACAGTAAACAATTTTATCAAACATCTGTAGAAAGAAGTGTAATTCACCATTGCACCTATCACAA